CTGTTGCTGGGGTAGGTGTGGCACAGTTGTGGCATCCCACTCTCACTAAGAACTACATTCTTTAACAGGCTTATGTGCACACACACACACACACACATTCACCCACACGCATACAGAGACACAGTCTCACACATAGACACAAACTAATTTGGGTTGTCCCTGGTAGAATTATTCCTGATGCTTGTCTATCAGTTACTTATTTAAATTAATTGTTATTATTCCAGCTCTCGTGGCTGTGCTGTGTTGCTTATTTAGTGTGTGTGACTGTTTCTTGTTTTCATTTTTCTCTTAGTTGTCTTACTATGTCAGCTGTTTATTGCTGCTGTTCGGCTGGTTGTCTTTTACTATTATTATTTTTATTGTTTTGTTGTTGTTTTTCCCTCCTCCCCAAGCCCCCCTCTCTGTTCTATTGCAGGTTTCGTTGCTTTCTGCAATTGGTGTTTCCCTCTGCTATTCCCTATTGTCCCCACCTTCCATCCCCCTTCTCTTACAGGTGTTGTCCTTTCTCTGTGCTGTCTGTTTGTGCCCCCCCATCCCCGTGTCTGCCCCCCGCTCCGGCCCGCGATGACAAATCAATACATAATTAAATATATAATCCAGTCCACTTTATTTCTATAGCACATTTTACAAACACAAAGTTACCAAAGTGCTGCACAGAAGACTCAAACATACAAAACAATTAATATAAAATTTTGTAAAAACAAAATAAGAGCATCAGGTTTAAATACTAAAATACAGTAAAACAATAAAAGACATCAGAGGACCACACAACTCACGCAGAGTTAAAAGCCAAAGAATAAAAATGTGTCTTTAGACGAGACTTAAAACACTCAACTGTAGGGGGCTGTTCGGACATGGAGGGCCAGAGCGTTCCAGAGTTTAGATCCAACCACAGAAAAGGCCCTGCCCCCCGAGTTTTAAGTCTTGTCTTGGGGACTGCAAGCTGGCCCTCTGACCTCAGTGGCCGCGCTTGCATATAAATTTGGATGAGGTCCGAGATATATGTTGGGGCAGTCCATTCACAGCTTTAAAAACAAACAATAAAATCTTAAAATAAATATAATAAAACAGACAAAGGAGTATATTAATACTCTCTTGTTAAAGTAAAATCCGGCTGGCACAATATGGTATCCAGGTCATCATACTCTATACCAGGCTGCTGGGCAGGACAGGTTTAAAAAAAATTTAAAAAAGGAAGTAACATTTAATATTTGGTGGCATGTTTCTTCCTTCAGTCTCCTCTTAAAGAGGTGAAATGCAGCTCTATTGGGTTCAGGTCAGATGATTGACTTGGCCAGTCTAAAACCTTCCTCTTTTTCCTCCTGATGAAGCCCTTTGTTTTGTTGGCAGTGTGCTTTGGGTCATTGTCCTGCTGCATGATAAACTTCCTCCCCATTAGTTTAAATGCATTTCTCTAAACTGGCAGACAAAGTGTTTCTGTACAGTTACATCATCAGTAAATATTAATGAGCCTGTTCCAGAAGCAGCCATGCACGCCCAAGCCATGACATTACCTCCACCATGCTTCACAGATCAGCTTGTACGCTTCGGATCATAAGCAGTTCCTTTCTTTCTCCACACTTTGGCCTTTCCATCACTTTGGTAGAGATTAATCTTGGTCTCATCAGTCCATAAGATTGTGTTCCAGAACTTTTGCAGCTCATCTCTGTACTTCTTTGCTAATTTCAATCTGGCTCTCCGATTCTTCCTGCTGATAAATGGTTTGCATCTTGTGGTGTGGCCTCTATATTTCTGCTCTCTGAGTCTTCTTCAAACAGTGGATTGTGATACCTTCACCCTGCACTGTGGAGGTCGTTGGTGATGTCACTTACTGATGTTTTGGGGGTTTTCTTCACAGCTCTCAAAATATTTCTGTCATCAACTACTGTTGTTTTCCTTGGCCGACGTCTGTTGCTCAGTACACCAGTTTTCTTTTTCAGGACATTCCAAATTGTTGTGCTTGCTATGCCCAATGTTTGTCCAGTGGCTCTGGTTGATTTTCCTTCTTTTCTCAGCTTGACAATGGCTGGCTTTTCTCCCATAGACAGCTCTCTGGTCTTCATGTTGGTTTTACCTCTTTAACAGGAAATCCAGTCTTTATAGGTTTGAACTAAGGATGAAAACTTAGACTAGTCATGCAGAGCTATTTAATGTTTGGACAATCAACCTAAAAGGCAACACCTGGGCAACAAGAAACATCTGTCAGTCACATGTTCCAATACTTTTGCTCACTTGAAAAATGGGTGGGTTCAAACAAAGGGTGGTATGTCCTGAGTTGTTTAACACATCTAGATGTGAATACCAGGAAATAATAATAAATCACTCTTTATAATGAGGTCTACAAAAAATTTTATTAAAAAAGTCACTCGGTGTGAAGGCATTATATATGACAAATGACTTTTGCAAAGTATAATATAATGTAAATATCGTCTTATATTACAGGTACAGTGAATACGATTTCTTTGAGTGCATATTTCTGTTACCTGAGAATATGAGGCTGGATGACAATCAACATCACCCCTCCCAGACAAGACTTTTAAGGCCAGGGCAAGGGGGGCTTTAGCAACATTTTCTTAAATAAACTGATTTAGTTTAACAGTGACTTTAGAAACAGTGATACAGTGGATAGTGGAAGATAGGAAATTGTGTGTGTCATATGAAATGAAGGTAAGCAGGTCTAGAAGTCACTGCTCATAGGAACTAATAGAAATCTCATCCTCAGAGCCTTGGTGGTCTTGCTCACACACTTTTTTATTTAAAAAGGCCAAATTCCCCCTGAGATCCACTTGTCTAATGAAGCTGATCCCAACAGGGAAATCTAAAGAGGCCTCACTTGATTTCAGATGGTGATTGAATATTCTAAATCAAATTAACAGTACCCCACAAAGAGGCTTTGTGTCAGTGATTCTACTTGTATCCCCCTTTATTCCAGCCCACACAGAGCGAGGACATGACAACACTGGCCAGCCTGTACGCATCTGCAAGGAAAATTTTTCACTTCAATTGCAATTTTCTCCTGTTTTCTGGCCTTGTGCTATGCTGTAGGAGAAACATTTTATAAATCTAAAAACATAGAAGATTCCCAGAGGACATGGAATAATAGAATGAATACACTTTTCAGATGCATTTATGTTTTCTTTAAAGATATAGAATCCTATTTTTAGTCAGTAAAACAAGAAAAATATAAGTTGGTTGTTGGTTGTTAAAATATCCTGCAGAGGGCAGTGGTGTAACATTATCTGTCACCTCAAGGAAGAGCTGAGAAACAATTCCACTTTCATCTTGAGAGTTTATGACTATGAAAAATAAATGTTATTTGGATACCACTTGGGGACTAGTGGTATCCAAATAACATTTATTTTTCATAGTCATAAACTCTCACAAGTTTTAAAGTGGTAAACCCTAAGCCTTCCCATTTGAAAAACTAAACTGTGCTCTTTCTCCCTTTTCCATTGCCAATTTCTAATTTACCCCTTTTGTATAAAAGGCCACGATTTTCTACCTCAGTTTTGGCACAAGGAAAGAAGAAAGCCTAATCCTTTTAACAATATCCTGCTTGTCTCCTCACAGCTTATGTTGCTCTGAGAATCAGTCAGACTGAGAGCCTCATTCTCTTGTAATAAAAATAATAAGGGGACCAGAGTTAAAGACAAAGCATCATGCAGATAAATTGATACAGTCCTAAATAAAAAACCTTGTGGCGGTGGGCAGTGGTGAGTTCTGAAAAACATTTTGTTCTTGAATCCTTAACCATTCTGTTATACTGTAACAGCAGCTCCTTCATGCTTGTATAGTGTACTTGCAGTCCAGATTTTTTCCACCTGCATTCTGCTTTCTTACATTCCCATTTCGAGCTGTGAGTACTGTCGTTGAGCCAAGGCTGCTTTTTTTCTCTGGACTTAGACTTAACTTTAAGGGGTGCTGTAATATTTAATAAGGACAAGCAGATTGTTAGTATTAGAGTATTCAGACAAGTGAGGGCTTTGACTGCCAAACAGTGTGCAGAATGTTGAGACAGTGTGGTAATTTAGGATGCAAGAACATATGGCGTGGGATGAGACCGTATTAGTAGCGGGTGACTCACAGTTAAAAACTATACATCTGTGATGGGATACAGCCAAATCCAGTAATTCCACAGTTGAAATTTTCACACCTCAAGTAAAAACAAAGTCCAAAGTATGACCACGATAATGTGTTTGTCCATTTACATTTTATTTGAAGGTAAAAGAATTTGTGATATTTTAAAACTCAGAGAACTATTGGTGGAGTCATCCACATGGATATTAAAATCAACACAAAGAACAGCTTTGTCATAGTTTAAAACAAGAGTAGATATAAATTCTGTGTTCTGAGTTCTGGTAAAAAAGCTGCCTGGTGGTTTTGTAGGGCCAAGGTTAAAAATGAGAGCTTCAAAGGAAAAGAATGTCTCACACGTTACTTTGTGACATTTAAAGCTCTTCTTAAAAACACTGGCCCCCACCATGACCACTGACACTGGGCTGATTAAAACAGTCAGAATGTGGGGGACACAGTTCAACAATTTGGCTGTGATCATTAGTTTCTGTTAAAAACATAAAATCTAAATGTGCAGATAAAATGATGTCATTGAGAAGAAAAGTCTTGTTGAAGAGAGATCTCACATAAAAAAAGCGCCATTTTAAGTGCGTTTGTTCCGGTCACTAGAGTTGGTGCCTTAGTTTGAATCTCTACAAGATTAATAATATTCCTGCGCGTCACTGCCTAAAGGCTCAGGATTAAGAAAATCCTCCAGACCTGGAAAGTAGATCAGTTTACTTTTGTTCTAATCTTTATAGCCAGTTAAGTTTAATTGCTGACCTTTAACTTCTGTACTACTTCAGTCCTGTAATCCAGTTTTGGCAATTTGATGACAGGGTTAGTGGTGAAGTATAAAAATCACGCTGCACATCTCTGACTCTCGTGTCCATCAACACTTTTGGGTTCTTCAGGCGAAGACGCTCAACAGATAAACAATAGAGAAGATGGCTTGGGATGGAGGAATCGAGCCCAATGGCACAGAGGGCAAGAACTTCTACATCCCTATGTCCAACAGGACTGGGATTGTAAGAAGTCCTTTTGAATACACACAATACTATTTGGCAGATCCTATATGGTTCAAGCTTCTAGCTTTTTACATGTTCTTCCTGATCTGCACCGGAACTCCCATCAACGGTCTGACATTGTTTGTAACGGCCCAGAACAAGAAGCTCCGGCAACCTCTCAACTACATCCTGGTCAACCTGGCTGTGGCTGGACTGATCATGTGCGGCTTTGGTTTTACCATCACCATCACATCTGCTGTTAATGGCTACTTCATTCTTGGACCCACTGCCTGCGCTATTGAGGGATTCATGGCCACACTTGGAGGTATGACGTCCACTCTGTTTTTTCATACTGCTTGAACAGCTTCTTAAAATTCCTGTAAAGTTTTCTCAGTATATTGACATTTACCACAGAGCAGCAAGTAGCAGGTATCATGACGCACCATTTGTTGTTGACAATGACTGAAATATACTGAACATAAATTGGGCCTTTCCTTTCTACAGGTGAAATTGCTCTCTGGTCACTGGTGGTCCTGGCTATTGAAAGATACATTGTCGTCTGCAAACCCATGGGAAGCTTCAAGTTCAGTGGAACTCATGCTGGAGCTGGAGTAGCTTTCACATGGGTTATGGCCTTCGCATGCGCTGGACCTCCACTGATGGGCTGGTCCAGGTAATTCTCATTTGTATTTGTCATTTTATCTACAATAAATACGACTTTAAACTTTTACAGTCTGACAGCTAACTATTTAAAAACGTTTAGAACTGCTCAAACAAAACAAAGAAAATGACAAGCGTAGTCATGGTAGCCTACATACTGGACAAGCAAATCTTGTTGTATAGCTAAAGTCTTAATGATTTTTGCCATAACTGCTCTTCTTAAACCTCACACAGGTACATTCCTGAGGGTATGCAATGCTCCTGTGGACCCGATTACTACACTCTGGCCCCAGGCTACAACAATGAATCATACGTCTCCTACATGTTTGTCGTCCACTTCTTTACTCCCGTCTTCATCATTTTCTTTACATACGGAAGCCTTGTGCTGACTGTCAAAGCTGTAAGTCAAGTTCAAGTTCATGACTGATGTTAAACTTATAGCCAAACCTCAATAAAAAATGATTCTATAGTTTCTTTTCATTTAATGTTCTGCAAAACTGTCTGTGCTGTGAATTCTGATGATGCTTTCTGGTCACAAACTCTTTAGGCTGCAGCCCAGCAGCAGGACTCGGCCTCCACCCAGAAAGCCGAGAAGGAAGTGACACGCATGTGCGTCTTGATGGTTTTCGGTTTCCTGTTAGCTTGGGTGCCATATGCCACTTTCGCTGGTTGGATCTTCCTTAACAAGGGAGCTTCCTTCTCCGCCCTGACAGCAGCTATTCCCGCCTTCTTTGCAAAGAGCTCAGCTCTGTATAATCCTATTATCTACGTGCTGTTTAACAAACAGGTATGTGTACATGAAAATGATCTAACCTTCATTTTTCACGCTTATCCCACCATGATGCACATTACATGCCTTTTATTTCAACATCCTTTGTGTTCTTTTTCAGTTCCGTAACTGCATGCTGAGCACTGTTGGAATGGGCGGCATGGTGGAGGATGAGACCTCAGTTTCTGCCAGCAAGACAGAGGTATCCTCTGTCTCTTAAATACAGAGACATTTTCATATACCTGGACATTTTCCTTTCTACTTTCTCTTTGATCTGGAATAATCCTTGACATGGACTGAGTGAAGTTCAGGGACGTCTGAACTACTTGTTGAACAGCTCTAGGACCAAACTAATGAACTGCATTTTCTCATCATTTATTTAAAGGATGTGGAAAAGTGTTTTTCATGTCGATGTGTATGTGGATGCTCACTTTGACTACCCTTGCCGTCAAAGGCACAGTTGTCCCTGAAATCTTTCAGCTTTTTTGCACCATTGAATCTACATCAGTGGGGGACACATTTTGTACTGTATTTTCAAAATGAGCAACTATGTACAATGTTAAACCATTTTAGTTGGTCATCGTGGATGATTGTAAACATTGTATATCTAAAAAATTTAAAAAAAATCATAGATAAATAAATGCATGCATCAAAATGTGTTGTCATATTGATTTCATTTCAAACTACATACCATAGAATCTGGCAGTCAATACTATAAAGTTGGGACTTCAAAAGGTGTTTATTAATGAGACATTGAACTTTATTTTCATTTAACAGGATTAAAATTGGTTTAATGAAACTCACAGAAGCTTGTGTTTCCCCTGTTCATGGTGTTCAGCACTAAGATAGCTGACCAAATGTTGCCTAGCCTGGCCTAATACCTGCTTATGCATCCTGCCTGAAAGCACCCACAGGAGACACCTTATGATCATGTCATCTGATCCAATTAACAGTGAAAAGAGCAGGGATAAGAGTGTTGCAACCCTGACGCCTTAAGCATTGTCACAGGAAAGTTTGTTATGTTATGTGCAGACGCTTGATCATTTAAACAGATAAAATACCTATGGGAGAAAGCTTTAACCATGACCACAATCTTTCCTTAACATTAATCAGGTAGTTGAGGTGGGGAGGACAGGAGGAGTAGAAGAGGCAAGGAGAAGAGAGCGCAGTAGAGGAAGAGAGAGAGGTAGAGAAAAAGATAGATAGATAGATATATAGATAGATAGATAAGGAAGAAAGGAGGAGAAGAAAGGAAGAGAAGAGAGGAGGAGGGGAGGAGAACAGACCAGTGGTGTAGTCTACGTGATACGCAGGTATGGGCCGTATACCCACTAGGAATGGTCAAAGATTTCCGTATACCCACTTGAAATGGCAAGATGATACGTAACAACATCGTTTTGTGACAGAACTTTAACACGTTCATTAATAAATTCTCCCCGTTTGTGTTGCGAAGCTCTGAACTGACGTTTGCGGCTTCCGTGGCCTGTGACCGGGATCTGACGTCAGCTACCAAACAACAACACAGCTGCGTGGCGCGTTTGAAATGAACTAATGTGAATCACTGAAGGAGATGTGAAACGCAAGCAAACTCAAACTACACTTTTAGTATCTTCGTAAGCCTGCAGCTAAAGCTGCTGCCGCTCCGGGTGATACTACAGCTGCAGCAGGTGACACGAACGTTAAAGTTACTGAAACACAGAAAACGAGCCAGATGAGGCTGATGCTGTCGTATTTAGGCTACCCGGTGAGTGAAAATAGCATATTGGCCTATGTTGTCATTAAAGCTATCATTAACTGAACTGTAACAGCATTGTTGGTCTATTGAATTGAATCTAGAACTACTTAACTAATGTTAATGTGGTGGATCAATGAATAAGCTACTGTGTGTGTGTGTGTGTGTGTGTGTGTGTGTGTGTGTGTGTGTGTGTGTGTGTGTGTGTGTGTGTGTGTGTGTGTGTGTGTGTGTGTGTGTGTGTGTACAGTAGTAGCCTTTCCTGGATGCTTGCTCGTGCATTTAAGCTGATAAAGTACATAACCTACGTTTGACAATGTTTTTTTTAAAGTGAGCTTGAGAGGATATGGACCACTTTCGGTGTGTCTTCAGTGCTAATGTTCTGTAATGAATGAGTTTTGGTGACAGAACTGCATATACAGCACACAGCGCAACTTGCACTGTGAAATGTGCATTGAAAATTGCCAGATGATAAAACCAGATTCATATAACATCTAAGGATAAATGTAGCTCTTAACTGGCTGAGTTAGATGTGCTTTAACATTAGATATTTCTACCATAAATAGGTGCAGAAAATGTCTCCAGAATGCAGGAAATTAAATGTTTAATGCTCAAAATCTTCTGGGGGAGGACCCCCACACCCCCCAATCATGTACTCATCAATGAATATTTCTTTAAATACTATTAAAATATCTTCTAGTCTTGATCTTGTGACCCCCAATATTCTGGATTGTCACATATGCTAAGTTTTTTGTCACAACTCTAATCTGAGCCCTAAAATGTCCCCACCACGTTTGAACACAAAATGACGCCCTTTCCCACCTGAAACTGTCATTAGCTGTTAAAGTCTTTGTGTTGTTGAAAACACACATCCTAAGCAGTCCTTCAGAATGCTCTCTATTATATGTACATGCATACTGTATGTATTAGTGAGTGTAGTGGCGCTTATGGGACGTCACGCTGGGACGGGGGAGTATGAGGCTGGGAGGGAGAAATCACAGTATACTCAATAGAAAAAACTAGACTACACCACTGAAAGGCACTGATAATCACTTAACCTAGGAAAACCCAGGGTAAACTGACACAAACGCAGTGAGCTCAAATCACAGGGCTGACACATACAGACAGACATCCCCACACAACACTCATCACACCCTACAGGCAATATAGAGTCACCAATTTACCTGACCTGCACATCTTTGGACTGTGGGACCTGCCACAGATAATAATCCAAACTGGTATATAAACATATTTAGAAATCCATCCTCATTCTCTTTACTCTCCGTAACAACTAAGTAAACTAAGAGCACAAAAAACAGTTTGTTGGTACATAAAAGATTCTAGCTGTATTTTTGAGCTGAAAGAAACAAAACGATTTGACATTCCCCTTTCCTTGCTCCATAGATGTTGGGTTAGAACAATATCATCATCAAGTATTTGGTGTTTTTTTATTTGCAGGTAGATTTTATGGAGCAAATGCATTTTGTGAACCATCAGGCTTGCAGTCATTTATATATAAAAGGAGATCCGGCACAACAATTATCAACATATTAGCCCTAATTAAGAATAGTGAGCTCATGTAATATGACAAGAGATAAAGTTGCATAATCCTCTGGCTAATGTTGTATTAGACATTGTATTACTGAAGTGCTGGTTCATTTAACCAAATCCCACCCATGTAGATGCTTACAGTAAGAAAAATGTTAGCATTAGTTTAAGTTTTGGTTCATCTCATTTTCCATTTTTTGATTCTTGCAATTTATTGAGTGTTACACATGTGAGAACACTGACTGTGAAAGACTGGCAAAAGCTTTACTTTACCTGGTGCAGATTAAAATGCACTGCAGTTCAAGTCTGCTACAAAAGGGAGGGGAAAGGGCTGAAAATATATCTTCAGAAAAGCAAAATCTCTCCTTTCCTGTTAGCAGTTTACTTGATCTAAAACATATTTGATTTATTGATTTATAGAAGATTGGACAATGATCGATTAGCAACCAAAAGCAACAGCAGCTGCTAGATAAACCACTTTGCATAAAATACCCAGTATGTCATATTGAACAATGATATATAATAACCTAATGATAACACCCTAGCAAGAGTCCCTAACACATAGCCCTTTTTTCAACCCATAAAAACACAAACTTGAAATATTAACTGCCAATGTTGTCCAATAATTGGTACAGAATTGAGTCTCCTTTCATCCTCCAAAAACACAACTGTTCTGTAAGTAATCTGCTAACACAGATATTTAATCATGATAAACGAATTAACATAAAACGTATGTGTGTGTGTGTGTGTGTATATATATATATAAAGAGGTAAATATTTGATTAAATAATTGCAAATTATACCAATGCGTGTATGTACATGACATGTACATTTCTGCTTCTGAATAAATTTGAATGGCGCAATGGTTTCATTCACAAGGGCCCAAACTGAGGTCATAGATTTAAAGCAAAGCAAAGTGGTTCAATTAGTATTAGGGCTTCATCCTCAGTTAATAAGATAATGTCCTGTTTGTACAACGGATATATTTTGAATCTCTAATGAAATAAGATTACTGTCCTAATTTCTTTTGCCAAAACCTTGTAATTCATAAGCCGGAACACTCCAGCCCGTAATCTAGTTAGCCTACTTAAATTGGAATTAACCTGCAGTGCGAGGATGCCAAAAGTTTGTGTTTATTTTCAGTAGTCAAAGACGGCTCCACACACAGTGGGAATGGACAGAATGTTTATAGTTTTTGTTCACTGCTATTATCGCAAGTATGTGGTAAAATTTCACTACTCTTTTTTTTTCTCTTCTCAGTTTAATCGTTTAAACTACCAGTGAATCTAATCATCATTATCATATCTATCCCATATGGAATCATGTTGTGATCAATGAAGACATCTTCCCAGTGATTCAAGGAACAAATTTTTACTATTCGGTATTTTACAGTATTGCAACATATAGGTACAACAATTATAGATAGTAATCATGTGGTACGTTTTGCAGCATTGTATTGTACATAGGCTACTGTAATCATTGCAGTGGTCCTTTGTGGCTCTGTTCGTTAGAACACTAACCTACTAACTCTAAGGTTGTGGGTTTGAGGTCACATACAGTTAAAAACTGTTTCTGAAGTTTTGAACCTGAACATATCGGGGCAAATGAAACAACAATACATACATGTATATTTAGCAAATGTTTCAGTGATGATCAATTAGGAATATTGAGCAATGTGATTCAAAGGTATTTTAACAATGGAGAAGAAAATCTTATCCAAAGTTGTGCATGTACTTTGCATGAGCATAATGTATGTGCTTCAGCACCTTTTGCCCCTAGATACCCAAAGTGCACTTTTGTCAAGGCAAACTTTTCTTATTTTTTATTTATTTTGTAAAGGCACTTTTGTGAAGGCCTGCCCAATATAACTATTAGTAAAATGAATAAATAATTCAGCAGTGAGTAAAACAAATGACCTTTCACCTGATGACCTTATCCGTGACGAGCCCTCCCGTTCAGCCACCGTCAGTGATTCAGCCGCGCTGCCTACAGAAAACTTTCGTTACGGGGTTGTAGCGTTGTGCTTGTTGTGGGTTGTTGGATGTATTTTACGAGAACGACGTGAAGAGAGAACGCACAGTGGTTGTTTATATTGCTGTGTGTAGCCTGGAGAAGTAATGTGCCGGTTAGCCAGCAGGTGTGACACCAAAATGTGTGACCTATCAGATTCTGTGACCCAAATGACAAGTTAAGCGCCAGAGACTTTGTTGGTGATACTTATTCCTCCGAATTATACTAATCAGCACCTTTTTAAATTACCATTCAATTCAGAATAGGACTGTAATAGATTTCCATTTAAA